CAACACCCTAGCCAGCATTAAGCTGGTGCTGTCATACCCATTCCAGATTACTGCAGCAGAATGGAGTTGTTCTTTAGTTGTAAGGTAAGTTCCCCCATGCTCATTTCATAGTCATCGAGATGCAGATTTTCATTTTACAATATTGTGTAGTTTTGTAAGTTTTTTTAAGTTTCTCTCCCCTTGTGATTCCTTAGGTTATTAGTGTATCTTATTCAAAAACTTATAAAACTGCATAATATAATACAGTACTTACCTTGTGACTATAGATCAGCTCCTTTTTGTAGTAATCCCAACAGGGTTATAAAAGTCTCCATAGCCTGGCATGGTGGCACATGCCTATAATCCCAGCATTCAGGAAGCTGAGGCAGGAGGATTACATGTTCAAGGCCATCCTGGACTACATAACAAGTTCCAGGACATCCTGGGCTAGTGAGACGATTTCTCAAAAAGAAAAAGAAAAGAAAAATAAATAAGCCTCCATGGTTTGGTAGTTGGGGCATCTAATGGAAAGGGAGCTGGCAATCTGCACCTGCTGTGGACATTGGATGAGAAAGCAATGAAAGGTAAGCTTCAAATTTAGACTGTATTGAATGGTTTGGGTTCCATGGTGCATGCTTGACCATCATGCTTTACGTTAAACTTTGTAATCTATTGATAAAGAATACTATTCTCTTCTCATTAAAGTGATCTTTGGTAAATATTTGAATTATTAAATTCACATAATGCATTTGATTTATCTGAGAAAATATTTTTTATCCCTGGAAATAGAATTCTGGTATTAAAAACAGTTAATTTGTGCCCATATTCATGTACCTTTTATAAAATCAAGATTAAACTTATATACATTTAATATATTATCAATAAATAATATAATTTGTTATTAAATAATTTTTTATTATTTTATTAGCCTTAAGTAATAGTACAAGAGCATTTCATTGAGATAATTCCATAGATACATACAGTATACTTTGAACAAGTTTACCTTTATTGTATTGCTTAAATATATTTTGACTAAAGTTATAACACTGTTCCACAAATGACTTTTTACTAATCCATCTACCATCTTAATCTTTGAACTCTGTATTAATCAATACAGATGAAAATTGTAACAGTCTTTATGATTTTTATTGCATCAACATTGTTTGTGTTTGAAAATGGGTAGCTTGCTGTTTTAATTCACTTCTAAACTTTAAATCACTATAATTTTAATTATAATTTTTAAATTAATAATTTTTAGAGATTTTAATTCTTGCATTTCAGAGATATCTGCATGTAAATATAGGTACTTACACAATATAATCTTATTTCTTCTTTAGGAATTGTCTTTGTGAGAACCAAGAGAGACAGCTTTGTATAGTAGAAGGAGAATGAATTTTACCATTTAGGAGATGTAAAATTGTAGTCTCTTTCCACCAGGTGTGATGGCATACACCTGTGATCCCAGCACTTGGGAGGCTGAGGCAGAAGGATCACAAGTTCAAGGCCAGCCTCAACTACATAGGGAGTTCCAGGCCAGACTGAGCTACATAGTGAGACCCTGTCTCAAAAAAATAAACAAAAAATAAAGTCTATTTCTGACTACAAGTACTTCTGTGTATGACTTCAGACAGTTTTTTTTTTCGTAGAAAATTACGCCCTAAATTTAAACTTTAATAAGTTGATCCAAGAAGAAACATGACAGTTATTCTTGGGTTTTTCTCATATATGTTCGTTTATAAATAAAATTCATCAGTCAGAAAAGTTATTGCTGACTTGTAGTTAATGGCCTAAAGTTCAAAACTATTTGTTTGATTATAAATAGATTCTTTATATTGGACCCAAGACAAAGCACATTGTTACCAACTCTGACTAATTTCTTTTTTAAGAAATTAATAACTTAGGTGCCAGCGGCTCACACCTATAATCCTAGCTACTTAGGAAGCTGAGATCAAGAGGATCAAGGTTCAAGGCCAGCATAGGAAAACAGTTCAGAAAATCCCCATCTCCAAAACAACCAGAGCAAAATGTATTAGAGATGTAGCTCAAGTGGGGGAGCACCTGCTTTGCAAGTGTGAAGCCCTGAGTTCAAACCCAGTCTAACAAAAAAAAAAATCTTTTCTTATCTTTGCATTAGTTCCATTATATACTGTGAAACTCTGGGATCTCCACAGAGTACATAGGGACACTTTATACTCATTTTAATTCCATTTGGATTGTGGCATCATATTTGGACTAAAGAAGATGATACATGAAACAAGCAGTATGAGTTTCCTTCTTACTATCAATGGTCGAAGCCTCCACCTTGCCTCAAATACCAGTCCCAGAGCAATGATTCTCAATTTTTTAAGCCTGTACTCCCTTTTAATAAATATAAAAACTGTAAACTTGTACACTTGATGGCAGGGTATAGGGGTACCCTTTGTTGAAGTCATTAAATTATTTTTATGTTATCTTCTAGGCAAAACATTTTATTAGTCCTCCTATAATTTATGTTATGAAAATAATAAGCTTTTGGGTTCATTTTCCAAATACAGAATGATTAAACATGCATTTTCAAATTATAAATGAAATACCATACCATCACTACATGATATTGGAAGGTCATAGACATTTCAAAACAGATCAGTGGATAAGACAGAGTTATACGAAAATTAGAAATCTATTCTCTAACATTTAAGTTCCCTTCCTTGTATACAGTCTGCTAGTTCCATAGTACATCTTCTAGATGTTGGATTAATTAAAAATTAATAATCAAAATAAGAGGTAAAACCTTCCTAATCCTTTTTAAAACTCTTTTCTGCATTAATTTTGTAATTAAGCAGAGACAAAACTATAGCAGTGGGTTAAAATAGTGATACCCAACTATACCTACACAGTCTATCCTTCCCATTCCTCATCTCCCTAGACCTAGGATCTTTTATATCTCTCATCCCATCACCACCGTGCTAATCGAACCAGCAACCATGCATTCTGGGTTAGCTCTGCAACTATCATTTTTCTCCTTGCAGCATGCCTAGTGCTTCCTAGTCTTTTAACATTTATCCAATTAATTCTACCACAGAGAGGGTATTCTTACCTTATTCCTTCAGACCTTTCTTCTTTCTTCTCTCTTTAATGTAGGGAAAGGTTTCTTCCACTATCACCATTTCATTTTTGAGCCAAATACTGGTTGACTGTTTGTTAGAAGAGCAATGTTGTTTCCATGCCTTACAAAAAGGGAAAGTCAGCCTATTTCCTGTTATTTACTGAGATAAAACACCACCTCATTATACAAAGGATTTAGGGCAGCTATCATCTTTCATCTTTCCTTAAAATGAAAGTTATTTCATGTTCAGCATTACTACATATTTATTACTTTTTGTTTTCACGGAGTAGAATATGTATTTTATATTATCTCAATTATATTTTCTTTGAGAAAAATAAATTTTTAAGGTACAACTCATTGTTAACTTGAGTCCTTGTATACTTTTAGAACACATTTAAAAAGGAAGAGGTGCTTTTTTGAAAAGTTTTTCTTAATGCTAAGATTTGTCATTCCACTAGAAGACACAAGAATTACTAAGTGTAGGTTTCATATCATTATGTGCACTTGCACATATAATCCTGTATCTTCCTACTCTTCTAATAAGTAATTCCCCTTCTAAGGTTAAGAAAAGGTAAACTCTCAGAAATACAGCTGTTTATGTGCATAAACACTCTTTGTTTAAAGCACGAAAACCTTTTTTAGCAAAATTATACTACTGATCACTTAGGTTTATATGTGCACTTGAAATATTGAAGGTATATGTAAAATTGGAAAATCCATGTATACACTTAAAATACACTTTCTGCTCTAGATAGTGGTAGTTTTTCTTACTGTTAGACATATGAGCAGATTGACTCAACATTTGCTTAAGTAGGATGAAGTCTAATTTTATGCATATTAAATATCCTTTATATATATATATATATATATATAAAACTGGGTGTCTTTTAGAAGTAATACATATGGACTATATGGTATGTGAATTATATCTCAAAGCTATTAATAAAAAAATACAGCATGTATGTAACAATAGGTGATGTTGGTGATAGGTGTACTCAGACAGAGAAGCAAGGCTTGACCTACCTGCTATGAATTTATTGTTCCTGTGGAATTCAAATAATTTTGTATGTAGTGGTGAAGTATATCTTTACTGGATGTTGTTATAACCTGCATTAGATTGGATTCATGTGTTGCAGTTTTTAAGAGGTAGCAATGTAGTTCTGAGAACGTTTTCAGGCCTATATAGGTTCAAGTCATTTAATGTCTCAGAATCTTACTTGTATCATTTGTGAAGCAAATGTAGCAGTACAGACACCTTAGAAGGGATTTCATAAATGCCTGTGAGGTAAAGGAAAAGAAAGATGTTTAGCAAATGGAGGGGGCATTAGTAATAATTAGCTATTAGTGTTATAGTTTTAAAAACAGTTGACAACTGTGGTTATTTTTCTGTGTTGTAAACTATCAAAATAATTGTAAAATTTCCTAAGGAAGTTTCTTAAGAAGATTGCTTTTGGATATGATAACAAACCCAGTTTTTTCACCCTTTCCCCAATTTTAGAGAAAATAAGAGCTTTACTAAATGAGCTGTATCATTTACTTATTTGATGAATTTATGTAAATATTTGTATCTTTATATGGTTTTTGTTCGGGAGGGGGTTTATTTTGTTTTAGTTTCTTTGGCAATGGGGATTAAACCCAGGGCTCTTTACATGTCTGGTAAATGATTTATTAAAACATTTATAATTAACACAATTAAACATTTAAATTATGGTCTCCTGTTTGGATGAATGGATCTCAGAGTTCTCCTGTAGACTTGAAAATCATCAAATATATTAAATGAGATTTATTGTATTTCCTCCTTTCTGCAAGCTTCTGTGGAAAAATTATTTTTGATGGGTTATTGGCATTTTGTTTTATTTTCTTACTCGGAAGATAAAGCTTGACATTAACTTTACATGAAATCTAAGAGATTTACTTAAAAAAATTGTGTTTCTAGGGCAAGTGGTATCATCGGAGGCAAGCTGTAAAAGAATTGCATAGTACATTGATACGTCTTCTAAATGAATTGCTGCCATGGGAACCAAAGTTAATGAAGGCTTTTCAAAGAAACAGGTAATAAAAAGATTTATGATCAGTTTTACTTATTCTAGGGCTCTTAATGTATGATTTTGGGAAGATGTACTAGAATCATTTAGTTGCTTTCTATTCATTTGTATTTCAGCAGATATTTTTGAGCACCTACTGTGTGCAAGACAGGCCCTGAAAAAAGCACTGTTGATTAAACAAAGTCTATACTCTGTGACTTCCATTCTAATGGGAGAAACACAAAGTCAAATGTGATAAATGATGTGAAGAAAAATAAATCAAGAGGGATAGGATATGCTTGTTTGGAATAGGATGAACGTTACTCCTGAAGGAAATGAGGGAGAGAGCCATGTGAATATCTAAGGGAAATGCAGGTAATAGAAGGTGCAAAATCTCTAAGGTTGTAAGCACATCTGGATTTTAGAGGAAATGCAAAGAATCAAATGTAACCAAAGCAGAGTAAATGAGAGGATCATGGTAAGAAGCAGGAATCAGAGAAGTGTAGAGAACCTGTATATTTACAGGTCATGTAGAATAACTTTAGTTTTTACACTAAGATGAGAAGGCATTGAAAGTTTTTAAGCAGAGAAGGGACATAATCTTGCATGTTTTTTTGTTTATTTATTTCCAATGCAGGGGATCAAACCCAGGGCCTTGCACATGCTAGACACATGCTGTACCACTGAACTGCATCTCCAACCCTAATTTATATGTTAAGCATCACTGTAGCTGCAATATTGAAAATAGTGTAAAGATGAAAGTAGAGAAACCAGTTATAGCGTGGCAGTAATTTAGGAGAAAAATGCTAGTGGCTTGGACCAGGATAATAGCAGTGCAGATGCCAAGAAATGGTTGTATTCTGAATATATCTTGAAAGACTGGATATGGGATGTAAGAGAAAATGAGGAGTAAAACTTATGTTGCCCAGTATTTTTGTTCTAAATAACTGGCATCACAGGTTTGCCAGTAACTGAGGTAGGAAAGAATGAAGGAGTATCAGGTTTGGGAAATAATGAAGATTGAGTAGTTTGGATTTCAACATGCTAAGATTTCTATGGTATGCTTTCTGTATGTCTAATGGTATTGATATAAGGCAGTTCAGTATGAGTTTGATTTCAAGGGAATTAGCCAGGCAAGAAATACAATTTGGACTTTGTCAACATGTCAATTATATTTAAACCCAATAAAGATGTAACCAGAAAAGAGAATCATAGATCAATATTTTTAACAAATATAGATGGAAAGATTCTCAACAAAATACTGGCAAACAGAATTCAACAACACATCGAAAAGATCATACACATGACCAAGTCAGTTTCATTCCAGGGTTGCAAGGATGGTTCAACACACGTAAATCCGTAAACTTAATACAGCATATAAACAGAAGCAAGGACAAAAACCATATGATCCTCTCAGTAGACACAGAAAAAGCCTTTGACAAAATCTAACACCCTTTCATGATAAAAGCTCTGAAGAAACTAGGAATAAAAGGAATATTCCTCGACACAATAAAGCCTATATATGACAAATCTAGAGCCAACATCATACTAAATGCTGAACAACTGAAACCATTCCCCTTAAAGTCAGGAAAAAGACAGGGCTCTCCACTTTCTCCACTCCTATTCAATATAGTTTTGGAATTCCTAGCCAGAGCAATAAGACAACAGGAAGACAAAGGGATTCAGATAGATAAGGAAGAAGTCCAACTATCCCTATTTATACACAACATGATCCTCTACCTAAGAGACCCCAAAAACTCTACCAGAAAACTATTAGAAATCATAAACTCTTTCGGCAAAGCAGCAGGATGCAAAATTAACATACAGAAATCAGTAGCTTTTCTATATACCAACAACACACAGTCTAAGAAAGAAATCAGAGAAACAATCCCATTTACAATAGCCTCAAAAAACAATAAAATACCTTGGAATAAATTTAACAAAAGAAACTAAAGACCTTTTAATGAAAACTATAAACTCCTGAAGAGAGAAATCAAAGAAGACATCAGAAGGTAGAAAGATCTTCCATGCTCATGGATTGGTAGAATCAACATTGTGAAAATGGCCATACTACCAAAAGCAATTTACATGTTCAACGCAATCCCTATCAAAATGCCAGTGACATTCTGCACAGAAATAGAAAAAATGATCGTGAAAAAACATATAGAAACACAAAAGACCTTGAATAGCCCAAAGCAACTCTGAGCAAAAAGTTGCTGGAGGCATCACAATACCAAACTTCAAACTACACTGCAGAGCCATAACAATAAAAACAGTATGATATTGGCACAAAAACAGTAAGACCAATAGATCATAATAGAAAATCCAACATAAACCCATGCATCTATAGCCAATTGATCTTCAACAAAGGAGCTCAAAACACATGATGGAGAAAAGACAGCGTCTTCAATAAAGGCTGCTCGGAAAACTGGATATCCACATGTAGAAGACTGAAACTAGATCCCTGTCTTTCACTCTGTACCAAAATCAACTCAAATGGATCAAAGACCATAATATAAAGCCTGAAACTGAAACAACTCCAAGAAGCAGTAGGAAATATACCGGAACAGATAGGTATAGAGAATGACTCCCTAAACAAAACTCAAAAGGCTCAGCATCTAAGAGAAACAATGAACAAATGGGACTACATAAAACAAAAGAGCTTCTGCCCAGTAAAGGAAACATTCACCATACTTTAAGAGACCGTCCACAGAATGGGTGAAAATCTTTGCCAGCTACTCATCTGATTAGGGACTAATATCCAGAATTTACAGGGAACTCAAAAATCTCAGTCCCTGAAGAATCAATACCCCACTGAAGAAATGGGCACATGAATTCAACAGGGAATTCTCAAAGGAAGAGGTACAAATGACCAGTAAATACATGAAGAAGTGTTCAACTTCCCTGGTTTTAAAAGAGATACAAATCAAAACAACATTTAGATTTCATCTCACCCCAGTTAGAATGGCCATAATCAAGGGTAATAACAACAAATGCTGGTGAGGATGTGGTGAAACAGGAACCCTCATACACTGATGGTGGGAATGCAAATTAGTCCAACCACTATGGAGAGCAGTATGGAGAGTCCTCAAAAAACTAGAGCTAGTAAACATTGATCTACAATTTGATCCAGCAGTACCAACTCTTGGGGATATACCCAAAAGACTGTGACACAGGTTACTCCAGAGGCATCTGCACACCCATGTGTATTGCAGCACTGTTCACAATAGCCAAGTTATGGAAACAGCCAAGATGCCCCACCACTGACGAATGGATGAAGAAAATGTGGTATCTATACACAGTGGAATTTTATGCAGCTATGAAGAAGAACGAAATGTTATCATTTGCTGGTAAATGGATGGAATTGGAGAACATCATACTGAGTGATGTTAGCCTGGTCCGAAAGACCAAAAATCATATGTTCTCCCTCATATGCGGACATTGGATTAAGGGTAAACACAACAAGGGAATTGGACATTGAGCACATGATAAAAGCAAGAGCATACAAGGGAGGTGTGAGGATAGGTAAGATACCTAAAAAATTAGCTAGCATTTGTTTCCCTCAACGCAGAGAAACTAAAGCATGTACCTTAAAAGCAACTGAGGCCAATAGGAGAAGGGGACCAGGAACTAGAGAAAAGGTTAGATCAAAAAGAATTAACCTAGAAGGTAACACACATGCACAGGAAATTAATGCGAGTCAACTCCCTATATAGCTATCCTTATCTCAACTAGCAAAAACCCTTGTTCCTTCCTATTATTGCTTATACTCTCTCTTCAACAAAATTAGAGATAAGGGCAAAATAGTTTCTGCCTGGTATCGAGGGGGTGGGGGGGAGAGGGAGGGGGCGGAGTGGTTGGTAAAGGAGGGGGTAGGGGCAGGGGGAGAAATAACCCAAGCATTGTATGCATGTATGAATAATAAAAAAATTAAAATTAAAAAAAAACTAGAGCTAGAACTGGCATGTGATCCAGTGGTAACCGCTCTTGGACATCTACCCAAAAATAAGACAGGATACAGTAGAGACACCTGTACACTGATGATCATCACAGCATTATTCACAATAACCAAGCTCTGGAAACAACCCAGGTGCCCTACAACTAATGAATGGTTCAAGGAATTATGGAATGTATATACACAAAAGAGTGTTACTCAGCTAAAAGGAATGACATGTGGTTTGAAGGTAAATGGATGCAACTGGAGAACATCATGTTAAGTGAAGTTAGCCAGTATCAGAGACATAAAAGTCTCGTGTTTTCTCTCATACACGGAGATCGTTCCAAAAGATAAACATATATGCAAAAACAAGCATGATCATATGCAAACTCAAAGGCAGAACATGTTTGTAACAGTGGAACTACTCTATGGAACTTGGGGAAAGAAGGAAAGGAAAAGAGAATGATAGAGCATCAGTAGTATCACATAACATAAGATGTGAAGGTAGAGGATATAAGGGTGTGTATTGAAAGCTGTTGAAAAATGGGGGGGATGGGATGTAAAGGGGTAAGGGAGACCAGTGGAATGATTAAACAGCCCAAAGTAAAGTACACCCACAGTGGACATACATTGAGATGCCCTTTGAATGTCAACTTAAGTATTAGTAATGAAAACCAGGATTGTAAAATATGTACAGTGTGTGTAGGGGGAGGGTACTTGTGAGAGAGGGGAGGGTGATGGAAGAAGATTAAGGTGATGATATATGATTGATGGGTTTCATATACCTATATGAAACAGAACTAAAAAACCTCTTGCAATTGCTTTGGGTGGCATGGGAACGGAGCAGAGGGGGAGAGACAATGAGGGAAATGTAAATTATGTACAATATAAGTCTGATTGGAATTGTCACTTTGAATCCTCCCATAATGAATATATCCTCATAAAAAATTTTATAAAAATATAAATAAAATAAAGCCATGAGACAGGTAGGAATCATCTGAACACGGTACATCAGCATTTAGAAGTGAAGTAATTGAGTAGGACTCTTTTTATCAGAGACTTTTCAGGAGTGCTTAGTAGGAGGATAACCAAAAAAAAAGTTGCCTTGAAAACCAGGTAAAGCAAATCAATTGAGGAAGATGAAGAATAAGAATTCATTATTGAAAAACTAAATAAAAGTCTTCAGAGTCTATTCAAGAGAATTAGGAGAGAGAACATGAAGAGTCCTCTTTCATGGTGGCTTGCTGTAAAGTGGAGTAGAGAAACGGGGCAGCACTTGAAGATTATGAAAGGGTACTTTGGTTTTTATTGTTGTTTGTTTCCATCTTATTAACTAAATATTTCAATATATAGTTTCAAATGTTAAAAGTTAGTTTAGCTTTCAAGAAGTAACATGTTTTGTTACTGATGGAAATGATCTAAAAGACAAAAAAATGGACATTTGGCAGAGTGATATCCTTGAATACACAAAAGAGAATGCATAAAATTGGAATTGTTAACTTAGATACATATCAGTACAAATTAAGGGACTTTGCAGATAAACCTGAGTATGTGAAATTTCTCTGATTGCTTTCATTTTTCATGAAATAAGAAGAAATTAGGGCTGGTGTAATGGCTTAAGTGGTAAAGTGCCTGCTTAGCAAGCAGGAGACCCTGAATTCAAATCCCAGTACCACTAAAAAAAAGAAAAAAAAAGAAGAACCAGTCATTAACATCAGAGTGAGAGGGAAAGAGAACTTCCTATTTTTCCCAAATAGATATTTCTCTATTCTGACCTTATAGATTGAAAGGGAAATTTATTTTACAATTATCCTTTGGTAACTCATTCTAGTATCTTACAGCCCCATAAAATCCTTAAACAATAATTTTAAATAAATTGAAAATAATTCTTAATCAACATTTGTTGAATATTTGTGTGCCATATAAACTGTGAGGTGAATGCTATTGTTATTACCATCCTACAAATAAGTAAACTGATGTTCCAGAAGGATTTAGGAATTTGCTTAGTCTATTTGAGATAAAGATAAGTACTTAAACTCCAAAATGCACAAATTAAAATTTATAACAAAAACAGGGCTGGTGGCATGCTCAAGTGATAAAGTGCCTGACTAGCAAGTACAAGGCCCTGAGTTCAATCCCCAGTACTGCCCCCACAAGAAAAAAAAGAAGAAGAATTTATAACAAAAGTCAATTGGAGAATTTATGTTTAACTTTGTTTTTTTAAATAAACTAAGGATAAGTGTTGAATAAATTAGAAACTTAGCTGAAAGCAAAAGGAATAACAGAGGACTTCCAAAATACCATGTAATCATTTGGAAATGTTTCCATATCTCTCCATAGTCTCTCAGGAACATAACTAAGATCTCTGTGAAAGATTACTTTTCAGCTTTAATGCCCTATGTGTAATGAAAACTATTTCTAGTAAGACCCAAAGATGGCAATCTGTGTAATAGTCAAATAATATTGTTGCTTAAAATTTCTTGATGAGCTTTTTTAAAATGATCTAAACTATATTAAAATTAGTAATATTACTATCTCAAATTCATTAGTCGGTGCAGCTAGAAAAAATAATTACCTTTCTCTCACTTAATAGGCTTAGTGGTTAAGATTAAAACAAGTCAGGCATAGTGGCACATTCTAGTAAATCCCAACACTCAGGAAAAAAAGGCAGGAGGATCACCATTTGCAGGTCAGCCTGGGCTACATACTGAGTTCAAGACCAGCCTCAGCTGTATAGTGAGATGCTAGCTCAAAAAAATAAAAAATGGCCAGGCACAGTGGGTCATGCCTGCAATCCCAGCTATTCAGGAAGTTGGAGATTGGAAGGATCACTGCTTGAAGCCAGCCACAGCAAAAAGTTAGCAAGGCCGCATTTCCATCAATAAACTCTGTGGTGGATACACACCCATCATCCTACTTACACAATAGGCTGTAGATATCAAGCAGGAAAAAACACATGACCCTACATGAAAAATAACAAAAGCAAAAATGGGATGGGGATGTGACTTAAGTAGTAGAGCACCTGTCTAGCAAGTGTGAGGCCCTGTACTTGTACTGCCATAAATAAATAAATAAATACCAACCCCTCCCCCCAAAAATATTAGAACATGCTTTTAATGACAGTTGAAAATATTTCAATATATAGTCAAAAATGTTAAAAGTTTGTTTAGCTTCTGAGAGTGTAATATGTGTGTATTGTTAATTGTATTGGGTATTTTATTTCAGGAGCCGCCTGAAGAAAGACTATGATGATTTCAGAAGACAACCTGATCATGATAAATTCTCTAGAGAACTGTGGGCTACTGAAGAATGTGAAGGAGATCTTGGAAAAGAATTTCCTAAAGTAGAAATAAGTAAGTCTATAGACTCAACAGAACCTCTAGATGTCCTAGAGAAAGATCACCTTGATTCAGGTAAGCATTAAAACTTTTTAAAAATCAACACTAAATGCATATGAAGTTAAGTTTTTATTTATAAAGAAAAGATAATCTGGTCAGTGTACATTGATTGGAGAAATCTGATGTGTTTTAAAGTACTGTCCATATCCTCATAAGAAATTTCTTGGGATTCACTATTAACATTTCTAGCAGTTTCTAGAGCCAATGCCTGACTCCAAACTGTAGACATGTTATTGCTCATTACAGACCACACATCCTTAATCTGTTACTCTTTAAAATTACTTCATTCTCTTCTTTTTATTATTACTACTTTTAAATAAGTTCTGTTTCTGAAGTTTGCCTTAAATGGAATTTGGCAAGTCCCTAATACTGTGAAGTGGTTTTTGTTTTTTAAATGAGGAATGACCAAAGGTGATGGTCTAAGAATACCAGAATGAACACATCATTCTAATAACAATAGGTGGCTGAACCTCTCGTTTCAACTCATCAGATTATATTATTCTATAAATCTAGTTTAATGACTTTCTTTAGTATAAGAAGTTAATATGAAAGTTTGTGGTTAGAAATGTATCAAAATGTTTTCCATGTCTTTGGTGATTGTAAAAGTATAACTTATCAACTCAGTTTGATCAGATATGATCATAAATTTTTGCTAGAAAGGTAAACATCAGAGAAATCTAGACATTTTTCATCCTTTAGAGTCTCTAAAAACAGATTAGATTGGTGAACCATCTCTTTGGTATCCAGGTTCCCCTATCTAGAGGAAGAGAACTTAGTAGACTTTCCAAATTAAACTTTGCACCCTAATTGTTGAACTTGAGTATCTCTTTAAAAGATGAAAATTTTCCCTTTGCATTAACATTGGCATCAGAATTAGGCCAAAATATTTTTTTCAATAATAGGCTGCTCTTGGGCATATATATCAAAATTACATGTCAAAGATCACTTTACCTCCATCAGTGGTGCTAAGAGATAGACTTCTTACTAAATTGCCAACTCAAAGATTGACTTTTATTTTTGTGATTGGTGTTGTTGCTATTCAACTGGTGTTTTCTATAAACAAAATGCTTGTTTTTATAATTTTCAGATGATATGAAATTGTCAGAATCAGATTTTCCTATGGCCAGAAGCAAGCTGTTGAAAAAGGAATTGCCTTCTAAAGATGTACTGAAGACACTGCCTAAAACACTTAAACGACAGTCCAAACAAACTAGTTATCTGGAGGACAGCACAAAAGAGCTTTCCCCAAGGAAGAAAGCAAAGTTAAGCACAAATGAGACAACAGTTGAGAATTTGGAAAGCGATATGCAGATTGATTCTATGAATGAATCAAAGCATACAGAGCTACCATTTTCAGAGTCATTTGCCTCAGTGGATTCAGTATCAGTGTCTGCTCTCCAGAAAGGGACCAAACCTATTCAGGCCTTGCTTGCAAAGAATATTGGGAACAAAGTGACCTTAACAAATCAACTGCCCCCTTCTACAGGAAGAAGTGCTCCTGCCATCGAAAAACCAGTTATATCTCTTCCAGAAGTAAGCCCCACAAAGCCAGCATTGACCTCCTTCAACAGTACAAAAAGTCCGTTACAAATGGTATACAAAATACCCTGTAGTCAGTGGTTGCCAATAGAGTTTCACAATAGCCCTGTAAAGATTCAGGTGCAACCTATGGTGGATCCTAAAACTGGAGAAAAAATCATGCAGCAGGTTCTTATTCTGCCTAAGAATTTTGTGATTCAGCACAAGGAAGGAAAAGCAGTTACAAAAGAAATACCACCACTTAAGCAAAAAGGTTCAGAGCAACATTATTCACCTTCTCCACAGACAGCAAGCATAAACTCTTTAGCATCAGTTCTTGTCACTTCAGCAGGAACTGTTTCTACCCCACTGCCTAATACAATTCTCAAAAAGACTATTATACCTTCATCAAATGTGAGTAGTGCTAGACCACAGCCTTTGTCGCCCAAAACCTCTGTAAGTAATTTATTAACACCACCAGTTAAAACTAGCCAGAGTGAAGCAGGAAAAGTCAAGAATGCAGTTTCAGTAACCACATTCTCCCAGCCCATTGCTTCACCCAGTATTTCCTCAACAGTTCAGCCTCTGTTATCAGCAACAACACTAACTGGATCTATAAATCCTGGTAATTCCCTTACCACTTTTGCAAAACAAACTACTGACTCTTCAGAAGCAAAGCAAGAATTGAAAACTGTGTGTATAAGAGATTCACAGTCAATTCTTGTTAGGACACGAGGTGGGAACACTGGAGTTGTAAAAGTGCAGACCAATCCAGATCAAAATTCGCCCAACAGTTTATCTTCAAGTTCAGTTTTTACTTTAGCTCCTCAACTTCAGGCATTTCTGGTGCCAAAATCAACTTCATCATCCTCTGCTTTGTCACAAGTAGCTGGAATGACTACCACATCTAGCCTCCCACTTTTCAGCCAAACACCAACTTCTGTTTCCATTCCATGTGGCTTTAGTCCATCCGTGGGGAAAAATCTCAAACCTACATTAAGCCAATCCTCCAGCAGTGGTAATTTGAGCCACTTAACAGATAAAACTTCACACACATCCTCTTCTCCTGTGAAGTCCTCTGTTTCTTCCAGCACTCAACTACCATCAACAACAAGTAGTTCAGTAAGTGTAATTAGCATATCAACAGGAAATTTTGGACAAACCAATGCAAATGTTATTCGTACTCCAACTAAACAGCATCATGTAGATTATATCACAAAAAGTCACCCTGTTACAAGATCAGAGGCAGCAACAGCAATAAATGGAGATGCGGTCAGTGGGACTCCAGTTCAGAAACTTATGCTAGTATCAGCTCCATCTGTTCTTCCTTCTGGCAATGGAGCTGCAATTAGTGTGGCACCTGCATCAACATCTACAGGTGTTTCCAACCAGAAATTGGTTTTTATTAATGCTCCAATTTCCAGTAGTACTTCAACCTCAGCTATTGTTGGAGAGTCATTAAAACAGACTTTTCCGTCCCTCTTCAATAAAACATATGTTAAGAATCCAGAGCCACCCCAGATAGTAATAATTCCATCTACAATGGGAGCACCAATAAAAATAAATTCTTCACCAACTGTATCTCAGATAAAAGATGTGAAAATTGGATTAAACATAGGTCAAGCAATTGTAAATCCTTCAGGTAGTGTCCCAGCTATACCATCAATTAATTTACTGCAAAATGTAACACCAAAGGGAGAAGACAAAAGCAGCAAGGGCTATGTTTTGCCATTGTCAACAAGTGGTAATTCAGTTCCAGTAAGCTCAAATTTTGTGAGTCAAAATATTCCTACTATTAATGAATCAGTGACTTCTGCAGCAAAAGCAGTAAACATGTTTTCAGTAACAGGAGCAAGTGTATCTTTGGGTTCCCTTTCAGTGACCTCAGCCTCCACATCAGTTGGGACACAACCTCCTGTTTTAGTCAGTGGAAATGATACCTCTTCAAGAATTATGCCTGTTTTGTCAAATAGACTATCTACATCGAATCTCGGAAATACTGTGGCTATATCAACTGTGAAAACAGGACATCTTGCATCATCTGTTCTGATTTCAACTACACAACCAACAGTGTCTCCTAAATGTTTGACATCAGCTTTGCAAATCCCCATTACTATTTCCTTGCCTCCGCCTGTGACTACATCTCCAAAAATAATTAATACAGTTCCACATTCAGCAACAGTACCAGGAGCCACACATTCTGTATCTCTTTCTAAAGGACAATCTCAGACTTCTCTCCAGTTTCATTCACCAGGGATTTCAACTACAGTGCCAACAAATGTAAACACAAATAAACCTCAATCTGAATTGTCATCCCTTTCACCAAGCCCAAGTAAAATGATTAATATTTCTAATTTTACTTCTCTGCCAAACCAGCAAATGTCCCCTGCTATAGTAAAATCAACCACCAGTCACAATTCTGCCCCAGGTGGTTCTGCCATTCGCAGTGCTACACCACCATCAAATGTAACTAGTCTGGTAGGGGGTCAATTCAGCGAACCTTGTATGCAGCAAAAAATAGTTATCAACACCAGTACACCTTTGGCACCTGGTACTCAGATCATGATTAATGGAGCACGGTTTATTGTTCCACCACAAGGTCTTGGAGTTGGCAGCCATGTTCTTCTTATATCTACTAATCAAAAATATGGACCTCCTTTAGTTCTTAATAGTGCCCAGGGCAGTCAGGCTACACCAGTAGACAAATCTTCCCAGAAGATTACACTAGCATCAAATAATCCTTTAAGTGGGCAACCTGTAAAACATTCTATAAGAAGCTCTACAAAAATTACAGACTCTCTTGGGAATTCGAGTTCTCTCCCTACAGTACATACAACACCACAAATTATAAACACAACTGCTAAAGTTTCTGTTCCATCTTCTGTACCAACAGGGTCATTGACTGCAGTAATTAAGTCTCCTCCAGCTACTCTTTTGGCTAAGACATCTTTGGTTTCTTCTGCCATTTCTTCCAATAATCCTCCACTGCCAAGTAGCACTTCGGTATTTCATTTGGACACATCTGTCAAAAAATTGTTGGTTAGCCCAGAAGGAGCCATTTTGAATACCATAAATACTCCAGCATCTAAGGTTTCTTCACTATCTACATCTCTCTCTCAGATTGTTGTATCTGCCAGTCGAAATCCTGCTTCTGTCTTCCCTGCTTTTCAATCATCTAGCTTAGAGAAGCCTGACACAGCTGCATCTTGAATTTAGACTATAAACGAGCCAGTTTTAAAATAATGGGGCATTGTTTTAATTCCCATAGAAATTTTAACTGTTTATTATACTGTTGAAAACATACTATACATAGTTTGTGCGCGCGTGTGCGTGTGTGTATATGTGTGTGTATTAATGTATATTCGTTAGCTTGCAACAAGACTTTTCTTGGGGAGGGACAAGTGTATACCATTTTGCTCATTGGTATGAGGATGTTTTCAAAAGTTTTTTGTTTAAAGTACATGGTCAAGATTTACCTGTCAACATAACAAATTGAACAAAGTCAAAATTTATCAGAGTAAGCTAGCATTTTGCACACTTACATTGACATGTTTCTTATTGAATTTGGACTATTGCAGCGTATCATTGATATAGTATTCTGTGTCACTAGTGAAATCTTATTTTTGTTTCTGTAAAAAAGAAAAAAAAAAATATATATATATATATATTTATGCATTGTGAAAATGCAGTCCATGGTGTAAAATTGTACAAATTCCTAAATTCCTAACAAACCTGTACTGAATATATGTACAAAGAACTATGCTGTCTTATTTATGTTTTGTTTACATAATGTATAGTTTTTTAAGTATTTTAGTAATTTTGGACCAGTGAACTATTAGCAACTATGCAGACAAATCTGCATGTAATAAACTGAGTTGCTGTATTTCCTTGTTTGAATACCATTTTTAAAGTGTGTTCTTATTCTATTGAAAGGATACATTATATAAATGAAGATAGTACTTTTAAAAAAGTATTAAGGCTTGGAAATTTGTATTAATAATAGCGTTTGTACAAGATTTTACAGTTTACAGTGTTTACTTTCATATATATCATTTGATTTTCACAGTACTCTTGAGGACTTAAGTGATAGATCCATGGTTACCCAACTAATGGGTAGTAGAGCCAGTACTTGAATTTGATGCTGTAAATACTTTTTCCCTGGGTCTATTCTTTTTTTAAAATGTCATTCTGGATTTCATGGGTTCACACTTGTTTTAAAAAAAAAATCCAGACAGGCGACAAGTTGCTCATGTCTGTAATTCTAGCTTCTTAGGGGGCAGAGATCAGGAGGATCACAGTTCAAAGCCAGTCCGGGCAAATAGTTTGTAAGACCCTATCTCAAAAAAATAAATAAATCACAAAAAAAGGCTGGTAGAGTGGCTCAAGGTGTAGGCCCTGAGTTCACACCCCAGTACCACAAAAAAAAAAAAAAAAAAAAACAATAAAAGAAATGCACCATCACCTTCCATTATTGACCAAAATATGTGACTTTTTTTCTGACTTGTATATTTGATCTGTGTTTACATGCCCCAAATGTATAGTATGTTTCTTAAAACTTTTTTTTTTTTTGAGACAGTCCTGCTCAAAGATCATGAACTCATGATCTCCCTGCTTTAGTGACTCTAGTACTGGGATTATAGGCATTGCCATCACATCTGGCAAAACTTTTAGAGTCCTAGGAAGTTGGAAAGATAGTACAGAAACGTTTATATACCCTTCACCTTTCTTGTTCCAGATATGTTTATATTTTTTAATTGTGTTCAGTTTGATTTTTGAAAATTATATTTAAGGACATGAATATTTGTAGTTTAGAATTAAAAGTGAATGTGGACATCAGTGCTATTTCTTTTTATTATAATTACAGAGCAATTGCTTAAATTCCATTGTAAAGCAAGTTTTGTGTCTCAGTTGATTCTCAGGGTTTGACTTTGTAGTATTTCAAAATATGCCTCATTTTAAATAAAAGGTAGCTTTTATATTTATTGGATCCTTATATCTATTCTCTTATTTGAGATACTAATTGTATATACATTCCATTTATAATGATATATTGTTGAACCTTATCATATAGAGTTATAGTCTGAAATTTAAAATGTTAGAAAAGGTAGGCAGACCTAAAATTTCCTTACATTGAAATGATGTTATAAGTGGAAAGAACAGGAGTATTCCTGAAAAGTTGCTAAAAGCTCTCAAAAATTTTAGAGGAGGGAGATATTTGTTGTGGTTTTGGAGTTTTTATTGTTTACATTTTTTTGTTTGGGGTATTTTTGGGTGGGGGTTGTTTTGTTTTTGAGGCAGGATTTCACTGCATAGCCTAGGCTGGACTCAAACTTGAGATCCTCCTGCCTTAGTCTCTTGAGTGCCAGGATTACAGGTATGTCCCACCATACCCAGCTTCTCAAAAATGTACATTAATACAGTACCTTTACCGATTATGTCTAATCTACTCAGTCTTCCCCTCTCACTGTTAGTTTAAAAAGCCCTGGGATTTTAAGGGATGTAGGTGATACTTACAGTACATGCGTTGCACATATGTGGTACTCAATAAATGAGTATATTCATATGCCCAGCTCTTAAAACAAAGAAACCTAAAACTGCTCACTTTTTATCTCAAAATAATTCTCCAAGCCACTTCCAGAAAATTTATTGAATTACCTATTGCCTTATGTTAATCCTGGTGAAGAACCTAAACTAAGTAACCACAGAATCTCTTCTAACTCCTAAACCCAAAATTCTAATACAACCTGCAAAGCGTTAGTGAATCTTGAGGGTGAAAACCCAAGTTTATGACTTTAAGAATTCTTCAGGCTGCTCCTGCTGCTTCTCCTTTATTTCTGTCTACTGCACTCTAGTTTTAGTTTCTAGAAATTTTTGAGACCCGTCAAGGTCTACCCAAATGTCCTCTTTGACTTAATATCTGATTATGGATTCTCATTACATGTTACATAACTCTTGCCATCCTCCAGCCAACATAAGGATATAGCATTCCTTCACATGCATAGTGTAATTATTTGTGATTATTTAATGCCTATCTTGCTTTTTGAACACAGAGACCTTGTCAATTATCACCCCATCTACAGACACACAGTATTCCATATGTATTTATTAAATAACTGAGAAATCTAGGTCATGTCTTATATTATTTCAGATCTTGTTTACCTTTCAAAACTAATACTCCAAGCCAGAAATGGTGTTACATACATGTAATCCCAGCATTCAGGGAGACTAAGGCAGGAGGATTGTGATTTGAGGCCAGCCTGAGTTACATAATAAGACAGTCTTTTAAAAAACACACCCACATTTTTATTACCAGAAACTTAGCTAACTTAATGGATTTACATATTTAAAAAGTTGAATTCCTTCCCTTTGCAGTTTTTATAGGTCATTTGGGTTTCTGGGATCTTGGTTATAAGAGTACAAAAATTCCTCAATTCTTTGTTCTCAATGTTAAGTATTCTTTAAAATTCATCTATTAAGTATATGTATAATGGAAGAAAGGTAACTACAGTGCTATGTGAAAGGGTGCAGGGTACTAAAGGGTTATGTATCTATACTTAGGGTACATTCAGGCCCATTTGAACATCTGTATTCAGTATCACTTTAAGTACTAAATCAAAATATGCCAAAATAACCTATCACCTTCTATGTTAGCTTTCCTCATTTCCTGCCCTCCCACCCCCAATGATTTTTCCTTTATCATTAGTTGTATATGAATTATGAGATGACTGTATAGATAGATCCCTGTTCCATTCTAAGCCTCCGATTTCAGTTGTGTATTTAGTAACTGACCTCAAAAGTTTATATTGATGATGGCTGTACACTAAGGCCAATATGAATGTTTACTTGATCCTGTAGAACATTTAGAAAAGTAAATTTAGAAATTCTTAATATTACAAGCTTGAGAAGGCAAGTTCTGAAGGTAACGTAGGAATTTGATGGAGATTTTATTTATCCAAAATTCCACTACTAGGGCTAGGACCTAGCTCAAGTGGTAGAGTGCTTTCCTGGCAAGGACCAGGCTCTGGATTCAATCCCCAGTACCACGAAATTAAACTACTGTAACTTAGAGATAATAAACAACTTACCTTACATCATTCCACAAGTTGTTTCACTACCATCAAAGTATCCAAAACCTTATTGTAGCTATAATGTTCCCATCTACACCAATTCTTATTTATTCAGTAAGCATTTGCTATGCACAGTGTGTTGCTCTGATGCTTAGAAAGTCTGAAAGGCATGGCATAGTTTAGAAGTTCTTGTTTAACTTGGAGAGAAAAATGAGAAATTTCTATAATTAAAAGGTAATACATGAAGAAGTGCTAATCAACAGCATGTGTTTTGTGTATGTAAAACATCATTTTAAGTAATTATCAACATAAAGGCACCTACCAAAGTTCTACACATTTATTGAAAACTATATAATGCAAAAGATGTCAGAACACAATGGGGAGCAATGTAAATAATGTATTAAGTCTAATCAGAATTGTCACAATGAATCCCCCCCCCATAATGAATATATCCTAATTTTTTAAAAAATATTTTTTAAAGAGAGCTGGACAAAAGGATTTCAGATAATAAACTTTACCATCTCTCAATGTCCAACATGAGGCTATATATTGAAGACAAGAAAAAAATGTCAGAACAATATAAATAAGATTCCATCCACGTCCTCAATAGGAAAAAATAATAAGAATAAAACAAATGTCAAAAGGAATAAAGAACTATTAAGAGTTTAGCAGGAAGATGCCAGAGAAAGTTTTATGCAAGGGGTGGCATTTGTGCTGGGACTAAAAGTTTGGGTACTACTGGCCTGCAAAGACTCAGTCTCAGAAAAGCACAGGAGCAAATGGAACACAGTAATTGAGTTTGAATGAAATACTATAAAAGAACCAAGGGGGAATAATTAGAAAAATACAGTAGGCTGAGTGATAAAGAACTGAAAAATATTCTGAAAGTTATTGGCAGAAACTAATACAGCTTTTGAAGCAAGGATAGTAGTAGCATTCGTATGTAAAATGGGAATAATTTAATTTTCTTATAGATTTCTGTGAGGATTAGATGAAATAATTTATGTAAAATACTTGACCTAATGCCTACCACATACTAAATACTAAGTGGTAGCCACTGTTATTCACCCAAAGGGAGAGAGGGAAACCAATAAGGATATTATTAGATCTAGTATTTAGTAGTAACAGTAGCAACAGATAGATGAAAGGGGAGGATCTGTTCAGAATGAGAAAGATGAAGGATTTTTTTTAAGAGAAAACTGATTTTAGCTGCATAAATTTAGAAATGTTTAAAGACCAAAAAATATCATAAGCAATGTGTTATTTCCCCTAAATTAACCTATCAGCTTAGTGCTACACTTATTAAAAAAAATACAGATTTAGTTGGGGGTATTTTCTTTTTGGTTTTGGTAGGGTTCTTGTATTTTTTAAACCAAAGTTTATTGAAGTAAGTGCTAAGTTTACAAATTTTTTAGCAGTCCGTAGCAAATATAAGTGGTCTTTACTGCTTTACCTGTCTCTCTGATCATTAAAAAATTTAGGTTGAACCATCTAGTTCAACCTAATATAATACATGCATCTAACTTTGAAGGTGTATTGAAATAGTCTGATAGGCATAAGAATTTTATTAAAACCATTTGGAGTCACTAAATATGCTTAAGGATTATAATTTTATTAAACTTCAATTTGAGACAAAGTATCAAGAAAAAAATTAAACCAAAAAGAGATTACATAATTTGTAAGTAAAGAAAACATGCCCTCCAGGAGTTGGTTGCTGTAAATCTCAATCAAACCTGCTGTGACCCAGAGGCCAGAATTCATAGTTTAATCCTCCCTCTTCCTTGGGGACCTGATGATCCAGGGGATCCCCAGATAG